TTGATGTTATTCTCAGTTTGCGTTTTATTCATTATGTGTAACTGACCACTGTTTAAGTTCTCTTATTTCTTAAGGAATCAGATACAGCGGCGGAATTCACGGCATCAGGGCAAGATTCGTAAGTGCATGCTCTTTTTACCACTTTGATCATACCTAGAATGATAGCAATGAGCAATATTGCATATCGTAACACCATCTGCAAGCTCATTACAGACCTTTCAGTGCTCATAGGTGCCCTAAATTAATGCTGTCTTCCTTGTAAAGTTTTCATTCAAGACAACCCAAAGAAAATAAAATTGTTTCCTTCTTTGCCTAGATTTCTGCTATACAAATTTCACCTTCTTCAAGCTAAGTAATAATGCTCTCATAAAACTTGCGAAAAATTGGCAACACGTTATTGCCTCCCAGCACATTCAGGCAAAAGGGGACCATTAAGACGGTTTATATTTGCAACTGTAGATCTCCGACACTTTATGTAACTCTCTCTCATTACGCTTCATGCCTTACATTATAAGGTGAACCGAAGTGCCAAGGCCACTAACTAGCAAGCTATGTATTGAAGCAGTGCGCTTAACAACGCGAAACTGTTGATTCTGATGTGTATCGTGTGCGATCTTGCACGGTCAGACCTGTCTCTCTACATAACTGACCGAATCGATGACAAACTAATGGCCATTTGGGCTCGAGAGTGTGCACTACTACAGCTCATGTATCTAATTTTCAATAATATTAATAAGTCATTTTGAATAATTCTTATGGTAATTTTGGGTAATTGGTAAACAAAAATATGAGCCTGGTGAAGGATGCTCTACTAATTTGAGTGATAACCCAATGACTCAACGTGCATTTATTTAAACTCGTTTCTTTAAGCACTCCAAATGAATCACCACGTGCAGGAGAGTTGGATGAACGTTCGATTGAGGTTGAGGCCTGCACGCAGGCTCTCAACGTAGAAGTTCCTGAACATCTCCCTTCCCCTGAAGAGCTTATTCAAAGGGGCCAATATCTTGTCGACTGTCCCAGCTGGCTTGCCTTTCTGGGAGAAGATAAACGGTTGCAATATTCCAATCACTTTATCAGTCGAAATGACAAAATCTGGGGTGACTCGCCATATGTTCTTCATTTTCTTACTTATTCGTTGAAAATTTCTCCGATTTAGTCGTTAGTTGTAAAGTCAAGAGCCTTAAAATAATTCTTCTAACATTCCTTGAACGCTCTACATCTGGGCTGGAGGAAGTAGGCATGATCATTCTTACCTTTGATAAACTATTGATGCTGATTTTGTCACTTGCTAGATAAGAATTCGCTCCTACTCCACCATTTGCCTGGTAGAACACTGAGGTTTTTCTTACTGTTATCGTTTTCAAAGGTTTTAAATCTACCATTAGTCATTTCATGCAAGATTTAAATGCCTCTGAATTTAATGTTATGTTGACATACCCTGAGCTTACTGGTAGGTATTCAAGATCCGTAGCGTCAACCTTTGGGTATGCCGCTCCCTTCTAGGTGTGCGCATGAAAGATGAAAAGTCTCACTCTATTCTCAACTTTTCCCCAATCTCTACATTACAAATCAAATGTTCGTGTTTTTCTGTGCGGATATTGATACCACTTGAATATTTTCTGACATGAGAGCTGGTGCATTCATAATGTGTGTATTGAATTTTATGTGGTTGAGATTAGAATTGAAGTGAGTTTTGGGATAGCCGCACTCCTTTATAGATAATTTAATTCTGGTCTATTAATGTTTTTTTCCGTAGAACTCATTTCAACAGAAATACGCTATGTGGATTTGCTCGTGATGATAAGGGATGTATACTTGAAAGCCTTCCCACCAAGACGTGAGGACTCGCTGAATCTGAACGAGAACCTCTTTCCTCATTTGGATGAAGTGCTGAAGAGTCATACACTCCTCCTCTGCTACATGCTGGAGGCTCATAATGCCAGAACGGACCATATTACCAACAATCTTGGACAGTGCTTCATCAAGACTGTAAATAGCATTATGATAGCATGTTACCGGTTTTGATGCTCTGATAGGCTTGGTCAGTGTTATCATGATTAAAATGCAGTAGGGGACCGTTTTATTGCTCTTACTGTAATCTGCGGCTGGGAAATGCATCTTATAATACGTGGTTCTTTAAAA